TGATAGCTTCAGTAAAATTTAGAAATATATGTTCTTAACACCGGAATTTTAAGCTTTAGAAAGTACATTTATCACATTGTACAAATATATAATATCGTATATGGACAAATGACATTAAAGCAGTGAACTCAGTAAAATTTTCCACGAATTTTTTATCCTGTCTACCCCCAAAGTGGACTTTTCTGATTAGTTACAGATTCATGAAAAGACTGGAATGTTTTCCTGAAAAAAATCTCTAGCACTCCAACGGTCAAGGAATCTGATACTTTTTATGTTATAAACTTGCATTTATTACAAAAATATTCAGACAAAAGCAATTCTAATAGACTTTTGAGAATACCTCGGATTAAAACTATAATCTGAAACAGAAATGCAACGTAATTGCGATGTGACAATCCAATGAATCCTTTACATGTCATTGATCTTTATGGTAGAAGTTTCTTTCATCCAAACGCTTGGCTGACCTTCTAGACCCTGACTTGCCTAATGGCGGAGTTTACTGAGACAGCCGCCATCTTGGACCCACTTCAGATTTTCAAATGCGAATATCTAGTGTGTCAATTGATCAATTCTAAAATAAATTATATATTAGGCCTTTCCAGTAGGGTCTCCTTTAATGTTAATTGTATCAAAGAAAAATATTGAAAAACAAAAAAGTTGAAAAACTGCACATTTTTAATTCGCTTCCTGTAGCGACCGGAAGCACTAACGACGCAAACGAAGGCAAAATTGCACATCTGTAACTTATGATCTATCATCTCTAATAAGTCTCCAGTGAATATCTTGAACCATTTTCGAGAACATTCGAAGACAAAAATCCATTTTAAAATCAGGAAATTGCCCATAACTTGGCACTGGAACCGAATATTCCAAAGAACAGAATTTTATATAAAATTCATATAATGATCTTTAATTCCTGAAAATTTCATTGAAATCTACCGAATAGTTTACGAGAAATCGCCTGCACAAAATTTGGTCAGAAGAAAAAAGAATAATAATAACTAGTAGACTAATTGTTCACTGAACAATTAGAAGGTCTTTCCACCTTCTTTTTTTTTTTTTTAAATGTTTCCAAGAAAAAAAAAAAAAAAAAAAAGAAAAGTTCCTCGAACTGGGCTCGAACCTACATCCCTTAGTTTGTAAGTCGGACACGCTAACCATTGAGCCATCAAGTTGTACACAAGTAAGCGTAATTTGTAAACTAATATTTTTTAAAGGTGGAAGAGGATACCAGTAGTTTCGTAGGAAAGTCCCGGTCAAATTTCTTAAAAAACTGAGATCTTGCCGGTTTGATTTGATATTGTATGTAGGAAAATGATTAGAATAATTATGGGACACATTTGCAGTGAAGCAATGTTACTTAGCATATACAGAGTCGTAAAAGCGAAAGTAATACACGTGGTCAGTTGCAGAGGAAATTCAAAATCCCGGAAAAACAGTGAGTGAGTGAGTCATGGACATTTTTTCTACACTATAGTGTATAAAGCTGGGTATCTGCAATTGATTTAACCTATCTAAATTGCGTGGAAATTTATTTGATATGAAAAATCGCTATTTCCGAGATTCAGTGGATTCATATTTAAATCTAAATAAAATTAAAATAAATTCCATACACCTAAGAAAGCAAGAATACTTGGTATTAAAATGTCGTAATAGAGCAGGACAATCGAATGATATTAACAATAATTGCAGAAATAGCCAATACGAGCCTTAATTAATTTTTATGCTCAGCAATAACTAAATTTCAGACAGAAAAAAAATGCAGATTTTGCCGATATTCACTAGAATTTCAAAATACTTTAGAGACTCATCTTAAAACTCTCAGGACACTTTCTTTCAGGTCTCTTCTTCCTTTTATTACGAATCTTATGCCGATATTTCGTTTCATTTGACTTGTAGACATTTTCTCTAAGATGGTGTTGCTTTTTTTTTTTTTTTTATAGGGCGGGGGGTATTTTATAAGCATTTGTTAGAGTGATGGTTGTAAATACCTCCACGACCTTTAGCTTGATTGTGACCTTTGGGTCAATGGGGTCAAAGGTCAAGGTCATTTATGAAGGTCAAAGGTCAAGGTCATCACAAGAGAGAAAGAGAGAGAGAGGTAAACTTGAGATTAACACTTGAAGCTGAATCAAGATAAAGGTAATGAATATTTCTTTATTACCTTTTGAGTAAGGGTCAAGGTCAATGTCAAATTTCAAAGTCAAAGGTCAAGGTCATTTGGAGTTTAAGCTTAAATTGACAATTTCTCTAGTTTTCCAATGACCTTGACCTTTGACCTTGACCTACTTTTCAAGGTCAAAGGTCATAAGATCTCATGCACTTGGTCCCACATCTTTACCACTTGTCCTTTAAAATTTTTTATTTTTTCTTGTAAGCCTTAAGACTTTCAGGGGCAATAACTCATCGAAGGAGTCCCCGAATACTTTCTCAATGAATAGATTCTAAACTCTTCTCAACTAGTCAAAGACATTGGTGAAGGTTTCATACCTCTACGGTTTACGGTTTCGGAGGAGTAGCGATAACAAGCATTTCTTGCGAAAGGGGCAATAACTTCGAAAGCACTCATAGTTCGTACGCGTTGGGTCAAATTTGTTCCTAACTTTTAATGACCTTTACGATGAACAAAAAGTCTTTTCGATAAATGTCGAAACAAAAAATCAGCGGAAGAAAAATAAGAAGAAGAACTAGGAGACTTATTGTTCACAGAACAATAAGAGGTCTTTCCACCTTCTTTGAATTTCAAATTTGTTTTATACCTGACTCCTAAAAATTAAATTCCATGAAAAAGAAACCAGAACTCTCTTAAAGCAGAGAAAAAATTAAAAAAAAAAATGAATGACCTTGACCTTTGACCTTGAAAAAATATTCAAGGTCAAAGGTCAAGGGTAGCAATGCAGTTGCCCCCATGCTTCTATGACTTATAGTTTTCAAGTTATAAGGTTTAATAGTAAGTACAAAGAACTTAAAGGGCAATAACTCATATAAGGGGTCATCAGATCCATTTGCACTTATACAGTGAATAAAGGCCTAAAGACCCTTAAGACATTAGTGAAGGTTTGGTGTCTCTACGGTCTAGGGTTTTGGAGGAGTAGTGATAACAAGGTTTTTCGCACAAGGGGCAATAACTTTTAAAAGGGTTAATATTAAGGTACAAGAGTGAAATCTTTGAAACAGTTTTAAGAGTACATATTAATGATGCATAGACATTAAGTATATGTTAAAAGACAAAAGAGATATAAAAAGAGCTAAATTTTCCATTTCTGGAATGACCTTGACCTTTGACCTTTACATTAATTTCATGATCAAAGGTCAATGAATCCTATGCAGTTGGTCCCATGTCTCTATCACTTCTCGTTTTTTAATTTTTTAATTATTTCTAAAATTAAAAAACTTTCAGGGGCAATAACTCATTGAAAGGGTCTACGAACACTTTCGCAATGAATAGATTGAAGAGTCTACTATATGAGTCGAAGACTTTAGTGAAGGTTTCATATTTCTACGGTTTACGGTTTCGAAGGAGTAGCGATAACAAATAATTACATACAAGGGGCGAGAACTCCGAAAGGGGTCATAGGTCATATGCGTTGGGTATTTTTTCGAAATAACTTTTAATGGCGAGTATCATGAACTGCGAAGTTCTTCGATAAGTCTTTCGGTTCAGTTTTCGATAACGGAAAAATAATAATAATAACTAGGAGACTTATTGTTCACAGAACAATAAGAGGTCTTTCCACCTTCTTTGAATTTCAAATCTCTTTTATATCTGACTCCTTAAAATCAAATTTCATGAAAAAAAAACCAAAATTGTCTTAAAACATAGAAAAATTTTTTTTTAAATGGAATGACCTTGACCTTTGACCTTGAAAAATTTTCAAGGTCAAAGGTCACGGGTGACAATGCAATTGACCCCATGCTTCTAGGTCTTATAGTTTTCAAGTTATAAGATTTTATATTAAGTACAAAGAAGTTAAAGGGCAATAACTTATATAAGGGGTCATCAGATCCTTTTGCATTTATACAGAGAAGTTAGGCCTAAAGATCCTTAACACAATAGTGAAGGTTTGGTGTCTCTACGGTCTATAGTTTGGGAGGAGTAGCGATAACAAGGTTTTTTGCACAAGGGGCAATAACTTTTAAAAGGTTTAATTTTAGGGAACATGAAGGAAATCCTTGAAATAGTTTTAAGAGTGCATATCAATGATACATAGACATTGAGTATATGTTGAAAGACAAAAGAGATATAAAAAGAGCTAAATTTCTCATTTTTGAAATGACCTTGACCTTTGACCTTTACACAAATTTTAAGGTCAAAGGTCAATGAATCTTATGCAGTTGGTCGCATGTCTCTATGACTTCTTATTTTGAAAATGTTAAATTATTTCTAAAATTCATAAAGTTTCAGGGGCAATAACTCATTGAAAGGGTCAAAGAATGCTGTCGCAATGAATAGATTGAAGAGTCTCCTAAATTAGTCAAAGACATTGGTGAAGGTTTCATACCTCTACGGTTTACAGTTTCGAAGGAGGAGCGATAACAAGCATTTCTTGCGAAAGGGGTCGTAACTCTGAAAGGGGTCAAGGTTCATTTACGCAGGGTCAACTGCAATAATCTTTTACAAAGTACATTCTTATGGACTATAAATCTTTTCGATACATCTTGAAACTCAAAATCACACGGCGGAAAAATAAGAAGAATAAGAAACAGAAGAATACCAATAGGTCTTTCCACGGAAAGGTGGAAAGACCTAATAATAAACAGAAGCATTTCAAGAGGTCTTTCCACAGAAAGGTGGAAAGACCTAATAATAAGAAACAGAAGAAAATCAATAGGTCTTTCCACAGAAAGGTGGAAAGCCCTAATAAGAAACAATAGAATCACTAGAAGGTCTTCCGTGAAGACGGAAGACCTTAATGATAATAAGAAACCGAGTAAAAACAATATGTTCCCAAACTCCGTTTGGGGAACATAACTAACAGTATATATAATTCTTTTTGCAGGAGGGTGTAAAATACACTGTTCGTTTGAAGAACCACGGCAGTATGCGGACCCTGAATGGTGATGGAGGGGTCACAAAGGTCAGATGTCCAGATGGGACAAACTTCACATTCCAGGCCTGCTCCCTCAGTTCTAATGGAACCAATCACATGAGAGGCCAGATACCTCAGATTCTGTACTACAGGTGGGTTCCTCATATAAAACAACAAAAACATGCTTTCTTGATACCACAGGTGGGCACATGTGTGAAAACAACAAAATATGCCATTTCAGTATAATGCAGACACTGAGCCTTTTGTTAAGTACATGTACTTGTAAGTAAAATATGAGACATTTATTCAGGATCAGGATATACTGAGTAAGAATGGTTAATTTTTTCAGTGCCCCACAAGAAGGAGAGAATTACCAGAGCAATAAATCCCTGGCTGAGCTTCAGGCTCGTAAGAATGCTATTGACATAGTGAGTGCCATTTGTAGAGTGGCTACAGATGTCCTCAGGAGGGCCCAGTTTGCTGCTGAGGGTGAGTAATTTGACTCTTTTACACCAGTAGACACTGTGATGTGTATCTTGTCTGAGTTAATAAAAAGAGAATCAGGTTTATATTTAATGAAAACTATGTATAGAATCTCATTTTACTTCCAGGTTATGCAGTAGAAGTGTTAGGGGTAGCAGACATCTTTTGTTCCCTGCTGCCATTGATTCTGGCATACATTGGACCAGTAGCTTCTCAGGATCCTAGGGTAGGACTTTTACTGTTACAGTAGTTCCCCTTCAGCCCTTTTAATACTACACTGTAGTATGTGCCAGGCTTGGGGTCAATTACTTTAAAATGTAATTAATTACTTTCAAATACATTAACAATTTTGTCAATTACTTGCAATTACAATTACATTGATTTTTTCAAATGTAATTAATTACTTTCAATTACTTTGACAAATGTAATTAAATACATTTCAATTACTTGAGTTTTATTTAAAAAAAAAATAAAGATTTTTTCTATAGTGAACTTTTATTCAGTGTTTTTGTTCTTGGGTATGAGAGGGGTTCACACCTGGACAAAATTAGACCTTTACCTAATGCCTTGGGCAGTGTGACACACTGTATAAACGGCTGCATTTCATTTCCGGAATTTTTGGTAATTATCAACTTTTCATTTCCGACATTTTCTAGTTTTCATTTCCGACATTTTTTTGTTTTCGTTTCCGACATTTTTCAAATACATATGTAGTACATATAGTAACAGATTTGATAACTTTACTTATGAAAAATTTTAAGGAATAAATCATAAATAAATCATTGAAATCCAATTTTGTAAATCTATCAGTGACTTGGACATATAAGTATGGTGCTGTCACTGACATTTAATTTAGTGCACATTAAATGTCTTGAAACAAGTTTTATGCTCATTGAACTTTTTTACCTAGACTTAGTGCTACATATATGCATATATGTATACATATTCTTTTGAATTTTCATTAATATTTTGGTATAAATACTTTTAAAATTCAATTTCCCTTTACTTAGAAAGCATTGAATTGCTGCACAGGTAAATTCCGGAAATGAAAAGAAAATTATGTCGGAAATGAAAACAAAAAATGTCGGAAATGAAATAAAAAAATGTCGGAAATGCTATGCATATTTCCGGAAATGAAATGCAGCGGTATAAACAAATTAAAACATTATGAGACATTTGATTATTGTACAAACACAAGCCCATGCTACACCAGTATAGTGTATGGGAAGATCTTTTTTGTTACTTTCTCAAATCCAATTTTTGAATGAAATAAATAATATTTCTCACAAATCTATTCATTATTTTCTATCTTAAAATGTACAGAATACAGGTAAATCTAAAAGGGGATGTAGGTAGTCTAATTACTGTAAAAACAAATAAACCATCTTATAAAACAATCTATTGGTATTTGCAAGTGGGAATAGGTAGAATTTAGATTTTTAAAAAGTAGGGATAGGTAGTATAAACCCATCTGTATAAAGACTGTGTATCAGTATAAGACACCTTTTTTTTATTATAAACTTTCATTTTGAAAAAAAAAGTAATTGAAATATAATTGAAAAGTAATTGAAAATACATGACCTTTTTTGAAATGTATTTAAATACATTCAATTACTTTTAATTGAAAGCTCAATCAAATACAAATTACTTCCAATTACTTTGAAAAATGTAATTAATTACGCTCAATTACAATTACTTTATTCAATTACCCCATCCCTGGTATGTGCCGTGACATTAAACTGTGTTCTATCATAGTGAAATATTAAAGCCACAGTAAAGTTTATCTGCACCACAGTAAATTCCCTGTGATTTCTTAACTACATGTACTTTGGTAGATGGGATGATTATTCAATAGAAAATGAATAAAATTTGCATAAAGTAAAGAGTCATACATGTACAAGTATTTCTTGATCTTAACATTTGTTTTTAGCTCACCTGAGCCGAAGGCTCAAGTGAGCTTTTCTGATCACATTTTGTCCGGCGTCCGTCTGTCCGTCTGTCTGTCTGTCTGTCTGTCTGTAAACTTTTCACATTTTCGACTTCTTCTCAAGAACCGCTGGGCCAGTTTCAACCAAACTTGCCACAAAGTATCCTTGGGTGAAGGGGATTCAAGTTTGTTCAAATGAAGGGCCACGCCCTCATTCAAGGGGAGATAATTGGGAATTAATGAAAATTTAGTGGCATATTTTAAAAATCTTCTTCTCAAGAACCACTGTGCCAGGAAAGATAAAACTTATGGGGAAACATCCTCAGGTAGTGTAGTTTCAAGTTTGTTCAAATCATGACCCCGGGGGGTAGGGCGGGGCCAAAATGGCCGACCAAAGTTTTACATAGAAATATAAAGGAAAATTCTTTAAAAATCTTCTTCTCAAGAATGACAAAGCCATAATTCATCATATTTATATGGGAGCATGCTCAAGTAGTGTAGATTCAAGTTTGTTCAAATCATGACCCCCCGGGGTAGGGCGGGGCCAAAATGGCCGACCAAAGTTTTACATAGAAATATATAGGAAAATTCTTTAAAAATCTTCTTCTCAAGAATGACAAAGCCATAATTCATCATATTTATATGGAAGCATGTTCAGGTAGTGTAGATTCAAGTTTGTTCGAATCATGACCCCCCGGGGTAGGGTGGGGCCAAAATGGCCGACCAAAGTTTTACATAGAAATATATAGGAAAATTCTTTAAAAATCTTCTTCTCAAGAATGACAAAGCCATAATTCATCATATATATGTGGAAGCATGCTCAGGTAGTGTAGTTTCAAGTTTGTTCAAATCATGACCCTCAGGGGGTAGAGCGGGGCCAAAATGGCCGACCAAAGTTTTACATAGAAATATATAGGAAAATTCTTTAAAAATCTTCTTCTCAAGAATGACAAAGCCATAATTCATCATATTTATATGGGAGCATGCTCAAGTAGTGTAGATTCAAGTTTCTTCAAATCATGACCCCCCGGGGTAGGGCGGGGCCAAAATGGCCGACCAAAGTTTTACATAGAAATATATAGGAAAATTCTTTAAAAATCTTCTTCTCAAGAATGACAAAGCCATAATTCATCATATTTATATGGAAGCATGTTCAGGTAGTGTAGATTCAAGTTTGTTCAAATCATGACCCCCCGGGGTAGGGTGGGGCCAAAATGGCCGACCAAAGTTTTACATAGAAATATATAGGAAAATTCTTTAAAAATCTTCTTCTCAAGAATGACAAAGCCATAATTCATCATATATATGTGGAAGCATGCTCAGGTAGTGTAGTTTCAAGTTTGTTCAAATCATGACCCTCAGGGGGTAGGGCGGGGCCAAAATGGCCGACCAAAATTTCACATAGAAATATATAGGAAAATTCTTTAAACATCTTCTTCTCAAGAATTACAAAGCCATAATTCATCATATTTATATGGAAGCATGCTCAAGTAGTGTAGATTCAAATTTGTTCAAATCATGACCCCCCGGGGTAGGGCGGGGCCAAAATGGCTGACCAAAGTTTTTAAAGATATATATAGGAAAATTCTTTAAAAATCATTTTCTAAAAAAATAGCAAATCCATGATTGGTCATGGGACTACTTTTGGATTTAAACTTTACAATAAAAAGCCATTTTCTACTTTTTCCTACCCTTAATGCTCAGGTGAGCGATGTGGCCCATGGGCCTCTTGTTTGTCATTATTATGAAATATTGACCTCCAAAAATACTATTACCACCCTTTAAGTTTGAGTGATGGAAAACCATGTGTACTACATGTATTTACCATTTATACCATAGCTTAACTCAAGATTTCATTTTTATATTCATTTTATTTTATTTTTGCTCTTGCTAAATAGAATGTACATTGTTTTCATTTCAGGGAGCTGTACAAATCCTGGGCATAATTCAGGAGATTCTTCCAGAGGTGGCTCAACTAAACACCCAGTCCCCAGCACCACTCCCTGCCCCAGAAACCTCAGAGAATGGCACCACCTCCCAGCACTATGCTGTCGTAGAAAGTGACCACCCCTACAAACCAGCTTCTGTCTCAAACTATAAAGTAGGTAGTTTGTAAGAACCTAATTTAGATTTAGAAAATGCATCTGAAAATACCACTGCTTTTTGGGGGGTGGGGATGAGGAGGGGGTCCACAATTGTCCATTTTTTCTCTTTCATGAAAGTCCTGTGCTTGGAATTATGCTGGGTTACCAAAATAGTAGAAAGATTCAATGTGCATCGACTTATACTTTACCTGTATTTTTATAACTCCAGGTGATATTCCCCGAGTCTGTTAAGTGGATGGTGTTGGAGTTTGACCCCCAGTGTGGTACAGCTCAGGCTGAGGACACCCTCCAGCTGTATATTCCCGCTGGTGGGGGATCCGACTTCATCCCCACTGACTCCTCCTCAGAAGAGGGCCTCAACACACAGAACTACTGGCCAATGTGGAAAAAGGTCCATGGTTCCAGTAACTGGCCCAAAACAGCCATAGTGTTACCAGGTCAGATAAACAATGACTCTTTATTGATTACTAAGATTACTTTAATTATAATGTAAGTGTTGGATAGATGAAACAACGCTAATGATGATCACTCTTGTTTTCAGGTCATGAAGTAGTCTTTTCCTTGGAAACAGCATCAGATTATGTTAAGGATGACAAGTCCTGTTTCTTTGGATTTAAGTGTGTAGTTGTTGGATATGAATGGAATTTTACACCAGATGAGGTTGGTCTAAATTTACATTTTGATATAATGTTTCTATCCATAGAGTATAAAAATTAACATTTTTAGCTTCTTTGTGGTATAGCTTTTTACTCCTGAAAATTTAGGAGACAAATTTTATGCCATACAATGATAACCAGTCTAAATTTCCTGTCACATGATTTCCGAGCTCTAGATCCAGGTGGAGTTATCAGTCATGAACTACCCCTCCTGTGGGCTTCATGTCTTTTCAGAAATTTAATACATTACTGTACACATTTAAAATTTCAATGTAACATTAGAACTACAATTTGGAATGCCTCTATTTGTAGAGTGTAACTCAACTGGAAAGAGAGTTGTCTTACCTTGGAGGGATGTGTGCAGCTTCCTTAATCAAGAAAGATGTTGCTCTGCCTCCAGGTAAAATAGATAAATATAGTGAGACTGCAAATACATGAATTACTGTATGCTACAACTACATGTACATGTACAACTTCCTAAACCTTTTTAAAAAACGGTCATTTTTTTTATTGTAATTCATGTTACTAAACATAGTTCCCATGCAGGAAAAATTTAAATGTAGACCAAGGCCATGTTATGAAAATACTTGTACATACTAAAAGTTTCTGAGAATGGTCCAGTGTTATATTCTTTATGATATATGTGATAATATTTTCTTTCAGTAACTGTAGAAGAATTAGAGGAAGACATGGAATATATCGAGGAAGGTTCCCAACTGGTAAATACAACTCAAAAGATGTCATATTAGATTGTGTAAAATAAGTATGCAGTGAATGTTTCACTGAATACTGTTCATAATTTGCAATTAATTTTGTATATAAGCTAATGTTACAGGTCCAAATTTTTAGCATAGTTAAGAGGGTATTTAAAGGGATCTCTGCTTTCCAATTACAATTCATTTTTCTGAATAATTTGCATATAAGGTCTATTGAATGTGTTCCCAATCAGAATGTTAAACAATTGAAAGATGTTTTGTAGTGTATTGTCATTTGTTACTTTGTCACAGGTATTCAGTGCCCATTCAGAACTGCTGGGTAAAGGCTTTGCTCTGTCCCACCCTCCCACTATCATGCAGGCCCTGGAGGGGAACCTGCCCTTCTGTTGGCAGTCCAATGAGAGGTCGTTCCTGAAGGACTTTGTGGCCTGTAATCCAGGCACTAGTGGAGGCCGGTTAGCTAGGTAAGATTTAAAGGCTTACTTCTGTCTGTGATTTACTACATTTAGATCATGTAACCCTACCTCCCACTTACCCTTAACATTTGTGTGATGACCATGATGAAGCATTTTCAATATTTCTGACATATTTTGTAGATGGCTACAGCCCGATTCATACCTGGATCCCAGTCAGTGTGAGCTGATGTACAGTAAGGAAGATCTCCGCTGTGGCTGGCCGGCTCTCATCACTGTGTTAACCAAGGATCAGTACGGACAGCTGGTCCATGTACCTAATCTCAAGGTCGGTAATACTGTAAAAGTACTTTTTTTCTGCGTGGTATTAATTTACGCTATGTACGCGGTCACAGATTTTCCGCGGATATTTGTCCAAGCGTACTTGATATTAATGTAAGACATTTAGTGACAGTCTAAGAAATCCGCGTAATTTTCTACCCGCGGATTAAACAGAAATTGAGATTCCATGGAATTATGACTCCATGGAAAAAGTACGCCTACAGTAATTTAATGGTCTAACATTTAAACTACTGTAGATCAATCACTGTGTTAACCAAGGATCAGTATGAACAGCTGGTCCATGTACCTAATCTCAAGGTCTATTTTAATGCTGTAACGTGTAAGGGTGAAACGTTTACTGAATTTTGTAAACATTTAAACGGATAGCAGTAAACGAAATGGTACCGTTTAAACGGGAGATATTTTATGTTTGATTTTTATGGCTACTTACTCATGAAACTCGAATTTAATGATCAATTCTTTCACTTTAAAATAAGTACGTATGAGTTGTTATTACAATTTCATTGTTGGTCATTATGACGAAAAAATTTGAGGCGCATTAAACTTATTCACTTTCTACATTGTCACCCAATTGCATTGGTTTGTTTGGCTACATACCGGACATAGAAAAAGAATTGTAAAGAGGGATCTTTTAATCTTGAAACACTTTTCAAAGACTTATGAAAAATGTATTATATTTATTTAATCAAAATATATCACGTTTTATATTTCAAGTGTCATAAAACATCGCTAGTATTCGCAACACGGAAATCGGAATTAAATATGTTAAACCGCATCAGATTTTAGATATTTTTATTCAATCTGTTTCCGGTATAGATTGTTACTTATCAAATGGTCAAAGACGATGTATCTTTTGTAAATTATAAAATAAAAAATTTGTTTGTGTTAAACTTTATTTCTGATAGATGTTGATAATGACCTTCGTGTAAACGTTTACTCAGTCTGTAAACGTTTAGAGCATATAATCGAAACGTTGCCGTTTACACATGTAATCGTTTCGCCCTTAGTAACGTGTAACATATACAAATAATGAAATCAAACAGAAGCTTAAAAACAATTATCCAGATGTTCTGTTTAAGAATGTTTCTGTTTGCAAGGTTAATGAAAGTATCCAGATAGTTTAATTAAAACAGTAGGATAATTTTCATATACAGTCAATTCTCGAATTATCGCCATTCGATTCATCGCCATTTTCGCAATACCGCCATGATTTCCCAAGAACGTTTTTCCTGCTATATAAAATTCTCTTTATAACGCCAAATTCGCATACCGCCATCTGCCACCCTGTTTTCAAAACAAACGTCCATTTTCAAGTGTCAATTATCTCGATATACCGCCACAGGTGCATGTGGTCAGTGAAGCGCGGCTAATTGGATGACACTATCCATGTTGTAAAGCATACAAAGCCAGGCGAGGTATTTGCAATTAAATAATTAAATAAGAATTAATTTAACGTAAAGTGTTATAATAATTTTGTTTTCTGTTTAATAAAAATCATTTAGTCACGGCTTCGCCAGGAAAGCGGTCGTTGTTCAAGAACACTGATAACGATATTATTCTGATGATCTCGGATTTTATCAATGCAAAGTTTGCTTTAAAATAATTATACGGTAAAAATTGTGAACTTTTCATTAACAATGATGCCATAAAGAATGAATTTATTTAAGAATTCATTTTATGTACCATCGGCTATATATCAGTTACGACGATCGACCCAGAATGTTTTTTTATTAATATCAGATGTGCAGATTTACATGCATACACATGTAAGTGTCTTTATTTCATAACTGCACATTTTGTTTTAGCGAAATTGTACTATAAAATTTAAAATTACTTGAAGTATTTTCAAATTTAGAAATATGTTTTTATATACATATACATGTGATAATAAGAATAGAAACACTACATGTAAATGGTATTTCTAAGAACGGTAACTCTACTTCCTATTTCCTATAAAAGATGGGAAATTCAATTCATCGCCAAATTCGTTATACCGCCCCGATTTCTAAATTACAAAAGGTGGCGGTTTATCGAGAATTAAGTGTACATATTTAAGATGATGTTTTTCATGGTCAAATCACATTTATGTTGATTCACTGTTAGACTTTTCCTTGTTCCTTTTAGGTTAATGTAAAGGCCGTCCCCATTGACCAGGGTATCTCTGGTGATGAGCGGAGGCTCAGAAGACTTAGTAGACCAGACGAAGGAGACAAGATATTTGGGGGACACCCTCCCCCTCCCCAGGACATTCCATACGAGGCAACAGTCAGAGAGAGGAAGGACATCTTCCATGCCATCAGCATGATGAAGGTAAACCATTTTAGAATCTTAAGTCTTTGACAGGGATCTTCAAAAATTGACATTAACAGAATAAAAATAAATACTTTTATGTGCTTTTGGCAGGCGTATGAGAACTACTCGTTTGAGGAGCTGAGATATGCGGCCCCTGCCGTGCCTCGACCGAGTGAGAACATGCTGGTCAGATGTAACAGTGATGGCACATATGTTGCCAACTGGACACCTAGCAACATAGGCCTCTACAAAATCCTTGTCACCATTGATGACTTTGATACTGGTAAGGATATTTCTTTTACCAGGGGCTGCTATTTTTGGAAACTTATCATCATGGTAGGATATCTTACTTGTATTATGTGTATACTACAATTAATGTAATTGATGTTAATCAGGTGAAATTTACAAGTTGGAAGTAAAAGATCCACCCCAAGGAGTTACTCCACCCACCCAAACAGAGAAAAAACCACATCAACCAAATAAGGTAATACATATGATAGATTATCAGTAAAACCAACATAAATCAGATTATTGCTGTCTGAGTTCATGTCTGAATGCTTTTATCACATGGTTATATACATGTACTAGATGCCTGTTCTGCATTACATGTGATAATCCTAATGTATTACAGATGAGAAAGTTTGTTGCTAAGTTCAGTGCTGGACTAAGAATCCGAGTAAACCCTTCTCTACAGAGCGAGTACATAGGAGTCATACAGCCCGAAGGAATCATTTCATTTGTGGATGAGGTATGCATCATGAAAAGGAAAACAGATACAATAGAGAGACTTTCTTTTGAAGTTATGATGCATAGTCCTATGATAAAATGCATGTTTAATATGTTAAAAGAAGTAAGTCATTCTTTACATACAAGAATTCAGCTTAATTTATAAAGTATGTTTATAGTAAGCTTTGACTGTTTTAGATTCACAATGATGATGGGGTTTGGCTGAGACTGAGCCAGGCATCCATTAACGAGTGGTGTAAGGAAGGGCATGTTGAAGGGTGGGCACTACAGTACAACCAACACCTGGGGAAAACCCTGCTGGTACCGGTGGAGGAACCAAAACCACTAATGGAGGAGATCATCAAAGAAACCATCAGGAAAAATCTCCATGATGTTGTCAAACCAGAAGTCACACCAAAGAGAGGTTTATATGCATTTTATTCGTACACAAATGTTTTTGATTTAACATAAGAGCAGACAGTGCATGAAATGGTTTAGGATATTTCAAGAAATCTACTTTTTAAGTAAAAATCAGACATACCGGTAATTGTTGTGTGTTTTAGGACCAGGAGAATACCAGGTTGTAAAATGTGGACCCTCAGGGCACAATATCAGATGTCGGCCACACCTCAAGGCAACGCCCATAGGGATGCTCATCCATGGGGAAAAGATTACAGTTGTTGAAGATGTGAGTAAATTGGTTTCAGTTTCTTTTTAAAACTTGCGCGAGTCCTGAGCAAAGTAAGCTTCTTGGATAATTTTTTTGTAACTTTTCTGTGTTAGTCCTCATAAATGAGATTGTTTTGTAAAACTGGTATGTGTATTTGGATAATATCAGATGCTGAAGATTTTGAATAATTTCAAAGTCAGTGACAAGAAAGTCATTTCAAAAGATGAAATTCTCCACTTGGAAATAGATGTATTGATTTTTTGCAGGTGACGAATGAGGATGGTCGGTGGGTGAGACTGGACCCTGAGAGTGTAGAGCAGTATTGTCAGAACAAACAGAGTGAGGCCTGGGTCCTGGTCTCAGGGCGAGACGGAACCGTGTACCTCAAACATGAGTCAGACCTAGGGGGCCTGGCCACAGGGAAACAGAACGACCCCTTCGCTTTCAACTCCCTCCCTCCGTCATTCAATAAGGGATTTGATTTTTCATCACAGATGCCATTTGTGTTTAATAGCCCTCCTTCAGGTATTGGTCAGATTGCTTGCAGTGAAAAGAAAGCTTGGAGTTATTTTCAAAATAATTAGAAAAAGGAATGCAAACGCACAAATATTCATTGGGGATTAAATTTCGTTTATTTCGTTGTTAACAATTACCAACGAAATTTAATCCCACATGAAATTTTATATGACTATGTAGTGAATAGTATTACTTTCAAAACAACGAAATTAAATGTCCATAAAACTATTTTTGATGACAAACCAACGAAATTTTATCCCCACGAAAATATGTGCTTCTACAGTAATCATCAATTTTTAAATTAAAATTGTTTACAGGGCCATTTGGCAGAAGTGCTAGTCTACCTTCAAATGTCTTAAATCCAGGGTTTTCAGGTATGTAAACAATATCTGCAGCAAAAAGATAATCATTTGAAATTATTTTGTGATTTAGAGAGTTTGGGAAATACCCTATTATATCAAAACTGTTTGTTTCTATTTACACATAATTTTTGTAGGACCAGTCATTCCTACCTTTGGAAACCCCAGCAGTCTACAGTTTGGAGGATTTGGGTCAAGTTTTGAGAGCAGCCCCATGCAAAGAGATATGACAAAAGTGAACACCCTGCCAGGGAGCCTCTCTGCCTCCCCGGGATTCCTTTCCCCCTCCAGAATGGACATTTCTGCCCAGACTGCATCCCCTGTGTCCACAACCAGATCTCCAGCATCAGGGTCCCCCAAGTCATCCAGGAGAGAAATCAGCCACCCCCTCCCTGTGGAATTACAGGGAGTATCAGTGAAGGAGCTTGTGAAGGCTTTAGGTAAGTGTTTTATAAAAGACAAATTATACCTGTTTCAATCTTTCTTGGTCCGTCCATTATGTGGCCTTATATTGTGAGTATAAGAAATGGGGTTATATGTCATGTAAGTATTGTTTTCTTGTCATGTTTGCACTGTATTATGGAATTTTTCCATAGTATTATAATATTATGAATGTATTTGAACTCTAGGTACATATGTACACCATTACACTGTACAAGGGTCTGAAAAATGCATATAATGCTGAACACAGTAGTTTTTCCTTCACATTTGAATTCCACAACCTCATTCGCTATGTAATAATGCCATCATTAGCAGAACCCCCTTTTGATTGCCCCCATCCCCCACCCCACAATTTATTGTCTGACACTGTTTGACTGGTCCCTAATTATTGTCTGATGCTGTTTCTTTTGAGTGTGTGGCTGTCGGGATGTGTCGTACCTGGCCTATATGTTTGGTGAGTCGGTAGATGTTGTCACTCTGTTAGAAATACTATTATATTGTGCTCTATTCCTACAGCATGAAAAAGGATGATATGTCTTTTCCAGTGTCCATTCAGAGATGTTCATTTTGATAAAATCTTGAATATATTCCAGATTGACATTTGTTATTTTCTTTGGGTACCTTTTGAATAATTTTTGTTTTTATACAGATAAAAATAAGGAAATATTTTTTTATCACTTGCATGTTGTTTTGTATGTTTTCTCTATGTTTGTCTTCTCTGAAGTTAGAAGAGAGATTGAAACAGATTTTTTTTCTGTTCATAGTTTGAAATGCAATGTTATTAGCTCACCTGAGCCGAAGGCTCAAGTGAGCTTTTCTGATCACATTTTGTCCGGTGTCCGTCTGTCTGTCTGTAAACTTTTCATATTTTCGACTTCTTCTCAAGAACCGCTGGGCCAGTTTCAACCAAACTTGCCACAAAGCATCCTTGGGTGAAGGGGATTCAAGTTTGTTCAAATGAAAGACCATGCCCTCATTCAAGGGGAGATAATTGGGAATTAATGAAAATTTAGTGGGATGTTTTAAAAATTTTCTTCTCAAGAACCACTGTGCCAGGAAAGATGAAACTTATGGGAAAACATCCTCAGGTAGTGTAGATTCAAATTTGTTCAAATCATGATCCCCGGGGGTAGGGCGGGGCCAAAATGGCCGATCAAAGTTTTACAAAGAAATATATTGGATATTTTTTTTAAAAAGTCTTCTTCTCAAGAATTGCAAAGTCATAATTGATTATATTTATATTGAAGCATCCTCAGGTTGTGTAGATTTAGGTTTGTTCAAATCACGACCCCCGAGGGTAGGGCAGGGCCACAATGGCCGACCAAAGTTTTACATAGAAATTTATTGGAAAATTCTTTAAAAATCTTCTTCTCAAGAATGACAAAGCCATAATTCATCATATTTATATGGAAGCATCCTCAGATAGTGTAGATTCAAGTTTATTCAAATCATGACCCCAGGGTTAGGGCGGGGCCAAAATGGCCGACCAAAGTTTTACATAGACATATATAGAAAAATTCTTTAAAAATCATCTTCTCAAGAATAGCAAAGCCATGATTGGTCATGGGACTTCTTTCGGATTTCAACTTTTCAATAATAAACCAATTTCTCCTTTTTCCTAGCCACAGTGCTCAGGTGAGCGATGTGGCCCATGGGCCTCTTGTTGTCCCTTGAGCATTTTATGAAGACTATTCTTGAATTGCAGGTGAGAGTCGAGCCAATGGAAATGGACCAACCCCTGTACCCTCCCCACCAGGCACGCCCAAGAAATCAGGATCCCGGAGCTCTAGTCCCCATCTTACCATAACAGAAAAACAAGGTAGGCTCAGAATAAAACTTAATGACAGAATAATGCTGGTAGATTCTTCATAAATACAACTACAAATTAAATTTCTCTTTTAAGTAAAAAGGTCTCAAACTGAGCTCTAAAACTCAGGCTCCAGCTGGTTACTACAGTGAAACTTGTCTAATCCAGACATCAGAATTGGTCAGATTAGACAATATTCCAGATATATGTATTCCATTCTATATTTAAATTTTAACACCTTACCAAAAAAAACACCTTTTGTGAAAATGCTTATTACTGTAAACCAACTTTTATTCGCGTGCGAGAAATATCCGCGAGTTTCGCGACCGAATTTACCTCGCAAATATTAATCGCCGCGAATCATCATTTTCATAAGTATTTGAAGGAAAAGTTTCCACGGTCGCGTAAATTAATCGTCGTGGATTGATTACAAACGGACGAATCGCGAATAAATGATGACGCGAATAATAGTTGGTTTACAGTATACATTTTTTTAACTTTTCACAGGTTCCCCTAGAACAGGATCTCCTGTAGGAAGATTGAGTCCTCGACAAACGAGAGCATCTAGTCTCACCGATTCTCCCTCCCACAACTCAATCAAGGAGGACCTGTTTGCCACGCCCCCTGACAGTCCTATTGCACCAATCCCGAAACGGGTCTCACTGAAGAAGGAGGTGTCCAGTGATAGACCAACCCAGTCTCCACCTACCTCCCCATCACTCAAACATAAACAGACAGATGTCAGCAAGATAGCTCCGCCCTCAGGACAGGGTATTCTAAGTCCTGTAAGGAGAGATAGTTTTGGCGGACATGTTTCACCAGTCAGAAGTACTAGGTTAGTCTCATTGAGAATTATATCAACAATTTTTGTTTGTTTTGTTTTTTTACATAAATTTATGAACAGTTTGATTAGAAAATCTTCAGAATGTAAATCTATATCAAAATTCATTTTTTTCTAAAATATTAATTGCAATTGTTTGTTCAACAGTCCACAGAGAAGAGCCTCCAGTCCATTACTAACTAGTCAGTCCAGGGCCTCACCAGTCAATGCTGGTTCTAGGGCCTCCCCACTCAGTGCTAATGCTAGGTCATCACCTGTCAATCCTGGGGCCAGAGCCTCGCCAGGAACAGGAGGATCTCCAATCCCAACCTTCAGCATCGGCTCATCCTCGCCCAAAGAGGAGTCAAGGTAAATTATAGAACCTCCATATTGAAGAAAAACCTTCAGTTTTACTGATTGATTTTCTCACAAGAAATAATATGTATATGTAGCTTATTTAAGTTTTAATTGTGGATTTACTTTTATAAAGGATGTCTCCAAAGTCCATGAGAAAAGACAGAGGGAGGTCTTTGAGGTCCAAACGCTCTGATTCCCCCTCCTCCAGAGACAGTATCCCAATAATCCGAGCTCGCTCCTCCTCCACATCTGTCATCTACGACAAGAAGGAGCCAGTGAAGGAGGCTTTGTCCCCCTCAGTAGCCGAGTGTCTCAGAGCTGTGTTCGCAGCCTTCCTGTGGCATGAGGGGATTGTGCATGATGCCATGGCATGTGCATCCTTTTTGAAATTTCACCCAGACCTTCAGAAAGAAATGTCAAAATTTGCCAACAGAGCTAAACCAGAGAAGATGAGAGTTAGACATGCAACAGATTCTAGTAAGGATATAAACAAGAAGAAGGAGAACATTAACATTAATGAGTCCAGGGTGAGATTTAAACTAGATCCAAGGTTTGTTAGAAGTGACTCTGAAAAGTCTGACAAATCTGACAAGTCAGATAAAGAGGAGACAAGCAAAGGTGTGGAGAAGGCAGAGATTCAGCGAACCATGTCAGATGGCAGAAAAATAATTGAGGCACGTCAGAAGAAGGCAATGAGGCACAAGTCTGAGGGTAATGTTGGGTTCTTTAAGGAGGGGATTGAACCAGACAAAGACTCACCCCTCCCACCCACACTCCATCATTTGGTGTATTTCTGGGAAGAGATGTCGTCTGGCGTACTGAAAGTCATTGACCAAAAACAAGGTAATTTATCATGAAAAGTTTGCATTTTAAAGATATCCATCATTATATCATGCATTTATTTTGGCTGGAAAAAATTAGCTTATTATACCCCCTGCAAACGAAGTTTGGGGGGGGTATATAGGAATCAGCTTGTGTGTCCGTCCGTCTGTCTGTCTGTCCGTCTGTCAGTGCAAACGTGTCCGGTCCATATCTTTCTTATGGATAAACATGGTAGGTTCTCATTTCACACAAAGATTGCTCCTGACCTAAGGGTGTGTCATGACCTTGACCCAAGGTCATTTAAGGAAGTTCAAGGTCACTGGAAGAAAAAATTCATTATTCGTGTCTGGTCCATATCTTTCTTATGGATAAACTTGGTAGGTTCTCATTTCACACAAAGATTGCTCCTAATCTAAGGGTGTGTCATGACCTTGACCCAAGGTCATTTGGGGAAGTTCAAGGTCACTGGAAGAAAAAAATTCATTATTCGTGTCAGGTCCATATCTTTCTTTTGGATAAACTTGTTAGGTTCTAATTTCACACAAAGATTGCTCCTGACCTAAGGGTGTGGTTCAAGGTCACTGGAAGAAAAATTTCATAATTTGTGTCTGATCCATATCTTTCTTATGGATAAACTTGGTAAGTTCTCATTTCACACAAAGATTGCTCATGGCCTAAAGGTGTGTCATGACCTTGACCCAAGGTAATCTGTGCAAGTTCAAGGTCACTGAAAGAAATATTTCATAATTCGTGTCCGGTCTATATCTTTTTTATAGAAAAACTTGAATCTACTACTTCACACAAACATTGCTTATGACCTGAGGTTGTGTCATGACTTTGAGCCAAGGTCATTTATGCAAGTTCAAGGTCACTGACAGAAAAAGTTCATAATTCATGTCTGGTCTGTATATTTAGTCTATTTTTTTTCATTAGGCTGCGCCTTCGTTTCATTTATAAAAAATATAATGAGCAATTACATTTGCACTAAAAATGTTTTAGCATTTCTCTCTTCTCTTAGATCCATAAAATATTCATGATTTAGCACTTCTGAAAAATCCAGGGGGGTGGGGGTATTTTGTCCCATTTGGACAGTTCTAGTATTAAGAAATTGCTTGAAAAGTGTGTTGAATTTGCTTATATAATAAAACCTTACTACTTCTGAATTTCTTTACAGTCAATCCTAGTCCTGCTGTAATGCTCAAAGCTAAGAAGAGTGAGAAGAGGGAAAAAGAGAAAGAGAAGGACAAAAAAGCTAGTCGTAAAAAGAAGGATGAGATCAAACATATATGGAGAGGAAATGCCATGGGGGACATGATGATGGGTCCTCTGGGAGGCAGGGATGGTGGTGATCGGGGGGAGACACAGTGTGAGTTGTGTGGAGGGATGTTCCCCCACCCCGTGACTTACCACATGAGGCAGGCCCACCCTGGCTGTGGACGACATGCTGGGGGGAAGGGCTACAACAGCAGTGGCATCTTCTGTGGGGGCTGGGCAGGGAACTGTGGAGAAGGGGGGCTGGGGGGAAGCAGCTGGTACTTGATTTGTGAGAAGTGTAGGGAAAAGTGCTTGAAGGAGAAAAGACACTCACAAAGAGAAAAAGACAAAGCTAAAAAGCAGAAGAAGAAATCATCACAGAATCGCCAGCAGACAGTTTTGTATACTCAAGAGTCTCATGCAGTTCTGAAGAGTAATGCGATGTTCCTGTTAGATTTGGCTAGTGCTTCAGGATTAACACTCCCTACCCAGTCAAAAAAGCTTCCTCAAAGTAGATCAGACTTGTTACTACCCAGTGTCAGTGAGGAATATGGGATGGAGTTGAACCCTTTTCCACCAGTTCCCTTCCAGTTTCTGGCATTACAAGGAGGCCAGAACGCAGATTCTGCGTTTGCAGAAGAAGTTTACATAGATGGGGACGAGAGGGTCTTTGTTAGATCAGGGTCAATGAGCATTAGGGATAGACAACCTGCTTACAGGCCAAGGTTACCAACTGAACCCCGACACAGTCCTCTGGCAAGGTCAGGGTCACTGGGTCAGGATTCAAGGTCACACATATCCTCCCACATCTCACCACCCAGTCCTAGAGTAAGTGCCCTGAGATCTTGTATTTTAAATTTCAGAATGCCTTATAGAATAACTGTTAATATAAAAAGAAAACCCTTACTTCATCAAACTACTTATTTTTTTTATTACAGGATTTTAATTCAGAGAATGCCAACCATGAAACAAAACAGATTCCAAAGAGTGCTGGCACCAGCCCAGACTCTAGTGATGAACTCTTTGGTAAGAGTCGGGCCTTCCAGAGAAGTCTTTCAGAAATTGTGCCAGATGATGGCAAGGAGCAGGAAAATGACAAGAAAATGCTGTCTGGTCGCCGCAGGAATAATAGTGGAGGTGTAGGAGGTATATACATCCATTCTTTTCCATTCTTTGATCTGATGATGAATAACATTTTTTGGGACTCATATAAAACTTTATTGTTGTAGATGGTGGAATGTCCTTGTTGAAGCATCCCTCTGCTGCTATGGAAAAGTTGCTGCACACGGTGGACAGGAAGTGTCCGGAGGATGACGAGCGAGCTCTACAGAGACCGGTGATGTCATTCATCACACAAAGACATGATCTGGAGGGGCTACAGCTCGCGATGAAGCAGGCACTGAGGAAGGCTGCATGTAGGGTGTTTGCCATGCAGGTGAGTTTTCTCTTTTAACAAATTTATCCACATGTATTGGAGTCAAAAATAAATGTCTTATACATGTATTATTAGGTTTTTTTCATAGTGTATTTTGTACATTATGGATGTACGCTAATGTTTGGTTTATAATGAAATGACAGGCCCTGAACTGGCTGGTGAGGAGTATCACCCAGACAGTGTGTTTACATGACCTCCTCTGGTTCTTTGTGTCCTCACTGATGCCCTCCGGAGGAGAGGAGGAGGAACAAGAAGAGGAGGAGGAGGACAAAGACAAGGAGAAGAAGAAGAAGGATCCTCCTAAAAAAGACCATGAGGTACAAAAAGGGGCAGCTTTCTATTTGGAAATAAATTCTTCAAAGATTTGAATAAAAAACAAATGGAATTCAATTTTGATTGCACATTTTAAGAGATTTCTTCATAATGGCATTTTAAAGCATTTGAAGTTTAAATGAGGATTTATAGAACTAAGCAGAAACAGTTAAAAAAGTCCAGATGGTTAGATAATAAACCCTTAAGAAAAAGAACCCATTATTATTTTAGTCTTGTATTTTATTTTTGTCTTGAACTACACAGTTTGTATATAAATTGTAGGATGTTCCTCTGTGTGACCACCCCCTGTCAGACATCACCATCGCCGGGTCAGCTGTAGAGCCCCTCCCTGAGGTGTTCCACATGCTACTGCAGACCATAGCAGACGCCATGATGTTCCTGCCCTGGGGTTCAGCTTTACAAGTGAGGACACTTAATATTAAGTTTTCTCATTGGAAAGATGACAAATAGAGATATTTCAAAAATGTGTAGTTTTCCAAAAAATTAAAAGCAAATATGTTTATTTTTACTCAATTCACAGCAAGTTGCAGTTCGTTGCTGGTGCCTGAAGTTTCAGCCTTCTGATCACCAATTCCTACACGAGTGTCATGTGTTCAGTAACATCAGCCGTATCCTGAGTAAGTCAGAGGAGGAGAGAGAAGAGAATACAACAGAGGCTCCTCAGGTGAAAAAATAAAGGTTATGTCTATACCAATATTGTTAATTGTTTTGTTTTTTCAATTAAAATTTAATGTTGATTGCAGTCATCTGTCAAGATATATCAGCTGAAGGATTTGACCCCCTCCTCTGACATTTCTGTGTCGAGTCGGCAGGCCATGATAGCTAGCCTGACAGACAATTCTACAGAGACGTTCTGGGAGAGCGGGGACGAGGACAGAAACAGATCTAAGTTTATCACCATTAAATGCCATGTTAAGGCCTCAGCCAGGATCATCTATGTACACATTGATAATGCCAGGGATCTGGGGGTAAGTGACCTCAACTTGGTTTGGGAGGTTGCAAAAGTAGATTTATTTTGTTAACTGGTTTCGACCAAGAATGGTCATCATCAGAACAGTCAAGCATATGAAATAATATACTGAGGTTAAAAAAATCCAGATTGTGGTACAAATGTACTATATTTTAAAAAATTGAAATACCTTTGTTAAGCAAATATAATTAAATGTACTTTTTTGTATACATTTACATGTATTTGTTATTATTACAGAGCAAAGTTGGGAGTTTGAGTTTCTCTGTCGGGCCTTCACCAGATGATTTGAAAAAATTTCACCAGGTCAGCTATTAACTCCTGAATTCCAATTTCTGTCATTCTACTTCTTAAGTTAATTTTATCCTAAAAATTTTATGAGTCCTTCACCTAACCATTATAAAAATGACTTGTAGGTTGATGTAGAGTCTCGTTATGTTGGTTGGTTGTCCTGTCAGTTTTCTGTCCCTCACATTCGAGTGATACAGCTGGAAATGAAGGGACCGGACCACAGCTTGAGGGTGAGACAGATCAAGATCCTCGGCGAGATGGAGGGGCAGGAGACATGTCTCCCCATCAAAAAGTCAGCTGTGGACATGCAGAAGGAGAACTGTGAATCAGAGACACTCAGGGTCTTCAGAATGCTTACATCACAGGTTAGCTTTAAGCACATACTGTAAATATATTACATTTATCGGTGTATTCTTTGTAGCTTCTTTGGCATTTACCAGATCTTCTAAATCAAGTACATTGCTAAATGTCTGGAGTACATAAAAACTATAATATTTGCTTTAAATTTAACTTTTTATCTTCTGTTAGAAATTTACAAACATGTTCATTTTGATGAAAACGTATGCATCGAGGAAAAGCCATATTGATGTCATCTAGTTTATGTGTGGAGATCAAATGTATATCAGAAGTATTTTTGCAGTGTGTACACATACAGTACAAACTTCAGATATCTAATTGAGCTACTTCTTATTAGGTGTTTGGTAAGCTGATAACACTAGATGGAGCAGGTAAAGTTAAGCTTGTAGATGGAGCTGGAGGGGATAGCTTGGACGGAGATCACGACCTCAAGGAGCACATGGTGGGAATCTTGTTCAGCCGCAGCAAGCTGTCCCACCTCCAGAGACAGGTCAGTATAACTTAAACTGTGGCAGAAAATTAGAAAACGTCCTTTAAATACCTTTGCATTTTTCTCTTCCATTTACATGCACAAAGACACAAGAGACACATTTTAAAATTACTACTGTATGATTTCTCTCTTTCAGGTGTGTTCACATATTGTACAAGGCATCAGGAAAGAATCCACAAAGATACGAGAAGAATGGGAGGCTAGTTTGATAAATCCTAATCATACTAGTATTCAACAGACTGGGTAAGAATTCAATTCTCCATATACATTCACTAGAAATATGCATTCAGTAAGCCATGATTCAGTGTAATATGGATATTTTCCCCCATTACAGTGATCAGGATGTATACTGCTTTGAACTGCTGTCTATGGTGTTGGCTCTCAGTGGCTCCAGTGTAGGGAGGGCCTACTTAGCTCAGCAATACCCCCTGCTACAGGATCTATTTAGCCTGCTTCATACAGGCACACCAAGGGTTCAGAGACAGGTGAGCTAAATTATCATTTCTCGGAGTAGATGATTTATTTCCATTAAAAGTAAAAAAAAAAAATGAAAACTGTTTCTATTCAAAGGGTGATGCTAAATCTGATAATTATTGATCTTTTTTCTGAGTTGCCAATTACATATGCATATTATTTTTTAAAAAGCAATATTTTGTATACGTATACCGGGACATCTTGTATGTAAACTACAAGTGTATCAGCAAAATAAAAATGAACATTTATTGTAGGTGATCTCAGTTCTCCGTAGAGTTCTACAGGATGTAAAACCACAGACCCTGTCCAGTATACTGTCTGTACCAGCCTTACCTCCCGTGGAATACAGTATTGTCAGCCTGGCCAGTCGAGACGAGAGTGTTGTCTTTGACCCAGAACAACCAGGTCTTCTAGATGTTTTACTAGCATGTATCAGCAAGGCTTTGACACTGCAAACAAAGATTAAGATCAGTGGACCACAGAAAACCATTACTGCAGTCAAAGTAGAAGACTGTCTCGGATCAACGTAAGTCTGTTAAGAATCTAGATCACAACAATCAAAATTTCACTGTAGCAGAAAAAGCAATTGAATACTTGCATTTCATACTGAAATTAGACTTGAAAATGGTGAATATCTGTAATCTGAGATTTTTTTGTGTCCTTTGCAGTGCCACAAAATCTCGCTGGTGGTTTAGAGGTAGAATCAGTGAAAGTCTGGCAAACAATGTCATCACACTTATTCAAGACATGGCTTCAGTAAGTATTAATAAATTCTGAGTCACTTAACTGGAACGTTATTTTTATGAATCATTTGAAAGCTTATAATAAAATTCCTTTTCTACTAACAGGGACAGCTGTCTGAGACCTGGGCACCAGTCACCAAGGCGGCCATTGCTGAGTCCATTCTAAATCTTACCAAGCTGGGAGAGAAGTACAGGGATCCTCAAGTCTGCCTAAAAACTCCTACTGTAAGTCTGCCTAAAAACTCCTACTGTAAGTCTGCCTAAAAACTCCTACTGTAAGTCTGCCTTAAAACTCCTACTGTAAGTCTGCTCCCATGTTCATGCTATTTTGCATGAGATTTGTACATGAATGATAGAATGATATTTTAGAGCACATGTCTTCTTCAACAGAAAATAGTTAAAAAACAAGAAAATTATTACCTTTTAAGGAAAAATTGTAAATATTTTTAACTGATTCCATTATTTTTATTATGTATTTTTAGCTGTGGCTGTGCTTAGCTTCCCTTTGTGTATTGGACAAGGATCATGTGGAGAGACTCACCTCTGGTCAGTGGATTAGCAGTCCTAACGGGCAGCATGGACAACCAAGGGTAGGGATACTTCACATCTAACCATTGCATTATCTAGGGCTACTGTAAACATTCATAATTCAGCACACTCAGAATATAGTTTAGTCATTTCAATTAGAGCAATCATAAATTAGTGCACTTTCAATTTTTGAATGACATTTGTTAGCGTTAATCATACATGCTACACCTAAGACAAACAATCTTGATGTCTTTCAGCCTACCTGTGATAACCATGATGATGGAGAGACTCAGGCTATTATTCTGTGTAGTGAGTGTGGGAACCTGTGTGCTGACTGTGACCGATTCCTTCATCTGCCCAGGAACAAACGTTCTCACCAGAGACAGGTACAGTTATTGACAGTGCAATGACATTTTTGCAGGAGATGCAATTTTTCAATGTATTTTATAGTCTGTCTTGAATTAGATTTTTTGTCAATTTATGAAAATTTTATTGCAGGATGAATTAAGACATGCACTTGTTCTGTATTACAAATTTCTATACAGAAAACATTTTATGAAAGCTTGCAAGATTTTTTCCTCTCTGTAGGTGTTTAAGGAGGAAGAGGAGGCCATTAAGGTGGATCTACATGAAGGCTGTGGAAGAACCAAGCTCTTCTGGGTGATGGCTCTGGCTGATTCTAAAGCTCTCAAAGCCATGGTGGAATTCAGGGAAGGTGTGTATTAACAATAGCATTAATTTATCTCTTTGTAAGTATTTTCTTGAAAACATATCTGTTTAAACAAAGTGACTTCATTGTTGATTTTTACTCCCTTTAATGTAATAAAAGATTTATTACACCAATACCCATTCTTCCTAGCTGTAAGGTTTGACTATTTACAGGGAAGTCGACAGCTGCCACCTCTGGTCCTGGTAGATGTCGATTCTGTGGAACCACCAGTAAAACCGGAGTGTTGGCTGTGGGTAATGTCTGCTCCGATCCAGAATGTCAGGTAATAGATCAATTAGCCATTTAAATATTTCTTTGTCTACATGCAGTTGAATTTTGTTTTCTGGAATTTGACAGTCTGATATTAAACATCAAGATATTAAAGGATTCTAGATAACATATCGCTTGTATATTTGGAAAATTGTTGTTTGAGATAACAAAATTCAACTGTACCATATATGTAGAGGTATACATTTGTATTACATTCATTTTGAAGTTCTTTGTCCAAGAATTTAACATGATTTACTACCAGTGCAGGGATAAAATGGGATTTATATGACACAGTGAATCACTGTCTCTGCAAACTAGGCATTGTACATATTTTTTATACCATATTTAAAACCATCTTCATTCCTTAATTAGGAATACCAACAGTTGCATGAATACCAGGAATTAAAGTTAATCAGTTTCAAATGATGTTGTCAAAATATCTTTAAAATTTTGTGTTCTAGGAACATGCCAAGAATGCCTGTCAGAAGGTGTTGGCCTGTGGGCATCAGTGTGGAGGAATTGCTAACGAAGAAGAATGTCTGCCCTGTCTACACAACTGTCCTCCCTACCAAGACAAACTCAAACAGGATGCAGATGACATGTGCATGATTTGCTTCACCGAGGCTCTTTCTGCAGCCCCAGCTATTCAGGTATGTGTGAAATTTGCCCTGACCTTTATATTTGTATGAATTGTGAAGTAATTGATTTTGTCTTAGACTAAATTCATTTTTATTCTCTTTCAGTTGAAATGTAAGCATGTCTTCCATCTTCACTGCTCCAGAAACATACTGGAGAAGAGATGGGTAGGCCCTAGGATTACATTTGGATTTTCTCTTTGTCCAATATGTAAGGTGAGATAAGAGTGCATAAGCATTTTATATTCTTCAAACTAAATTGTGTCATTGCAGATGAGACCCTATTGATCTAAATTACTTGAAAATAAATCTGCATTCCAGAACCCAATAGATCATCCTGTATTGAAAGAGTTATTGAAACCAATCCGAGACTTGTTCAGTGACGTTAAGAGGAAAGCCTTGATGAGACTGGAATACGAGGGACTTCACAAGGCAGAGGCCATCACTACACCAGGGGCTCGCTTCTACAAGGACCCTGCAGGATTCGCCATGGACAGATATGCCTATTATGTCTGCTTCAAGTGCAAGAAGGTACTAAACTAATCAGTTAAAAAATGTTTTGCACTATTTATCAAAATGGATCTTGGTTACAATATTTTCATTTCAAAATTTTAAAAAAAATAAAATTGAAGGATATGAAAATACTGTATAGGGGGAAAATAACTCGCGGTGTTAATATTCGCTATATTCATGGTGTTAACAAATCCATGAATTCAAGAAACAGTGAATAAATTTTCAATAATCTCCATGTTTTATTTGGAAAATTGAGAATAGACTACAATAGATTTATATAGGTGTTCGTGCAGTCCATGGTCATTTCAGTAATTGCGAGTAGTACTGTCATTCAATTAATTTTAATTATCACGCTTTACTTTAATTCAAATCGGCAGATAATAGTTTGTGTGTTTAAAAGCTGTTTTAATAACCAACGCTACATGTTTCATCAATCAAAACACGTGGGCCATGGGTTTTGATTACCCGTGCGTAACTAATGTTACCACGTGTATTTTTTACCTGCATTCTCATGCATATTAGTTCATGTAGTTTTTATCGACATTTTGGTTTTAAAAAATCGTTCAAATAAATATCGAACTTACTGACGGAGGAAGTGTGGAAGGATATTATTTTGTAGAACTACATAAAAAGTTTTATTTCTGTCCAGTAGTTTTTCGCTGCGTTGTATTGAAGATCTCGGGTGCACATGCACTCATCTTAATAGCATATAGGAAAGTCATTTAACGTTTAAGGACTATTTATAACTGCACTTGTGTTAATTAATTATTTATAAAATCTAACAATTTTATAATAACTTACCCTGTTGTTCGTGAAAGAAAGACATAATGCTGATTAATATCGTTTACATGTAGCTATGGTATGGATTAAATGGAGACAAGGGAAGTAACTTTTATTAGGTCACCTGAGTAACTCAGGTGACCTATTGCTATCTGTTTTCGTCCGTCGTCGTGCGTCGTGTGTCGTGCGTCGTGTGTTAACATTTAAACATTTTCAGCTTCTTCTCTGAAACCACTGAACCAATTTCAACCAAATTTGGTATGCAGCATCTATGGGTGAAGGGGAACAAAAATTGAGAATTTCATGGTCCCCGCCCCCCTGGGGCCTGAGGGGTGGGGCCAAAACCACTAAAATTATTGCAATCTTTAAAAATCTTCTTCTTTACTCCTGGACATCAAGTAGGCAAACTGTTAGCATGAATGTAATAAGCATTGAGTCCTCTACCAAAATTGTGAAATTCATGGCCCCAGGGTCAGGGGTTCTAGTGCTAGGGCGGGGCTGTATAGATTATATAGTGAAAATGCATTATTTCTTTGAAAATCTTCTTCTCTGCTTCTGGGTATTAGATAAACTAAGTAAGTACATAGTTATGATAAGCAAGAGTGCCTCTTCCAGATTTGTGAATTTTATGGCCCCAGGATCAGGGGTTCTGGTGTTAGGGTGGGGCTCTATAGATTATATAATAAAAATGCATTTATTCTTTGAAAATCTTCTTCTCTGCTTCTGGGTTTTAAATAAACTAACTAATTACATAGTTATGATGAGTAAGAGTGCCTCTTCCAAAATTGTATATTTTATAGCCCCAGGGTCAGGGGTTCTAGTGTTAGGGGGGAGGGGCTTTATAGATTATGTAGTGAAAATGCATTTATTCTTTGAAAATCTTCTTCTCTGCTTCTGGGTTTTAAA